GCGGGAAAGCGGCTGAGGACCCCCAGGAGTAGCTCGATGTTTTGGGTGAGAACCCGGGGAAAGAGGGCGCTCGGCTTGTGGGGCCGCTCGGGCTTCCCCGTGGCTCCGCCGGTGCTCCCCGCGCCATGAAGGCTGGCCGGGAGTCAGAGCGGGGCGGTGGGAGCCAGGATTTTCCCTCCCGGACGTGGTCTGACGCGCCTCCGGCTTCTCCTTGCCCAGGGAGCGGCTTGCTCAAGAAGAAGACGCTGGTGCCGGGCCAGGGGGTGGACACCCGTCCCCGCAAGGGCCAGGACGTGACCGTCCGCCTGAAGGCCACGCTGGAGGATGGCAGCGTGGTGGAGGAGAACCCTGCCCTCACCTTCACGCTGGGGGACTGCGACGTCTTGCAGGTCGGGGCTGGGAGAAAGCTTGCCTGGCTTTATCTGCCTTGCTCTTTGCCCTGCGGGGCGGGACCTCGCCTGGGGAGGGCGCGGGGAGGATTTGGGGTCGGTGACATCCCCGTTTGCGGGTTGGAAGTGGCCCCTCCGCCCTTGCTTATGCTGCGTCCCCACGATGTTGGTCCCTGCAGGCTCTGGACCTGTGCGTGCAGCTCCTGGAAATGGGGGAGACGGCTTTGATCATGTCAGATGCAAAGTACTGCTACGGCGCTCAGGGCAGGTGAGCGGGGAGGGCGTGGGGGGGAGCAGGGTGGCCCCAAAGAGGGCTGTGAAAGCTGTCCCCTGCGCTCCCGGTGACAGCCCAGCCAACAAGCCCAGCGTCCGAGGGCAGGGAGGCCCGGTTCGCTTGCCACGTGCAGGGGACGGCAGCGTGTCCTGCCCGGGGGGGACGATCTGCATCGCGCCCTGTCCTGGGGAACTTCCGTGGCTCTGATTTCTGGGCCGCGGTGCTAAATCTATGTGGCCCAGTGGCTGGTGGAACTGGCAGAGGTGGCAACGGTGCCACAGCTTTGTGCCCCTCTTTGCGCAGGAGCCCTGACGTCCCACCCAACGCGGCTCTCACCCTGGAGGTGGAGCTGCTGGGGGCTCGGGATGCGCCGGACCTGGAGCTGCTCAGCGGGAAGGAGAAGATAGAGCTGGCCAACCGCAAGCGGGAGCGCGGCAACTTCTTCTATCAGCAGGCAGATTACGTGCTGGCCATCAACTCCTACGACATCGCTCTCAAGGTCATCGGCTCCAGCTCAAAAGGTACCTGCTCCTGCCCCGGGCGAGGGCCCCCCGGGCTCCCTTCCCCCAGTAACCCGGCTCTGGGGTCTTTGCAGTCGACTTCAGCCCAGACGAGGAGGCTGAGCTGCTGGACGTGAAGGTGAAATGTCTCAACAACCTGGCAGCCTCTCAGCTTAAATTGGACCATTACGAGGCAGCCCTGAAGTCCTGTAACCTTGTCCTGGAGCACCAGCCAGGGAACATCAAGGCTCTCTTCCGAAAGGGCAAGGTGAGGCTGGGCGCGCGGCAGGCGCTGCCGTTCCTTCTCCATGGCGTGGCCGGGCCCAGCCGTGGCAGATGGAGGGCAGGACCGAGGGACAGACCTCAGCCATCCTGCTCAATCCCTGTCTCGCCTTCCAGGTCCTGGCTCAGCAGGGCGAATATAGAGAGGCCATCCCCATCTTAAAGGCGGCGTTGAAGCTGGAGCCTTCAAACAAGGTAGGCTGCTGTTGTGTGCTGCCGGTGATGCTGCCGAGCTGGGTGTCTGCAGGACGCCCTCCTCTTGTCCGTGTCCCTGCAAACCTCGGTGTCCCCCGTGGAAGGCTGAAGCCCCCCGTAGCTGTTCCCAGCTTCCTTCCTGAAGGGAGGCTGGAAATAGCCCCCAGGGCCTGGGCAGCCGTGGGGTGATGCACCTCGTGGTGCAACGCCTGAGCTTGGCTGGGCTGGTGGGTTCCTTATCTCCGTGTTGCGAGACTCCCTCTTTGCCCTTTGGTCCTTGCGGCGGCAGGACTCCCTGCCAACCCATCCCTGCTTCAGCGATCCTGTGTGTACGGTCCTGGCTGCTCCGGCTTCGCCGGGTGGCTCCAGCGGCTCGCGCCGCGGCTGCGGGAAGTGGAACAGAGCCGAGTCCCCGCAGACTCGCTCGGCAGCCCAGAGCGTGATTCACTGGGCGGCGGGAGCGGCCCCAGAAAGCCCAGACCGCGGTCCAGCGCCTGGGCCAGGGTGAGCTCTGGGTCAGGAATTTCCTGTCGGTTAATGATCAGCTGCAGGACCGGAGCCTTGGGAGAAATCAAAAGCCGGCGCCAGGAAAGGGCCCCAGCAGGAGCGAGCCTGGGCGAGCTGGGGGAGAGACAGGGAGGTGCTGCCTGCGCGGGGTCGAGGCGGGGGGCTTGGTTCTACAGGTGGGCTTTAGTCCTCGACTGGGTCTGTCGTTTTATCCGCCTCTTTCCTGGGCGTTTCACCAGACCATCACGATTCATGTCGGTGTTCCCTGGTGCCTGAAGGTCACGGGTAGGAACGGGGCCCTGTGAAAGCGGGTGCTCGGTGGCCCCACAGCCTGTGGTCTGAGATCCGCCGCGAGGAGGGATGAGCAGGATCTCAAACCCTTCGCTTCCCGACAAGGTTAGGGTGGGCAGCCGTGGCAGAGGTGCGTGAGCAGCACAAGCGACGCAGGCAGCACCGGGAGCAGCTCCCCCTGCATGTCTCCGGCACGTCACTGTTGGCGGGGCTGCTGCTCACCAGCCCATTCGGATGAAACTTTTAATTGGAGAGGGGTGAAAAATCAAAATGCCTGGCAGTGACGTTACCAGTGAAACCACAAGTACAGCAAATTACTGGCCTCTCCGGCTGGCTGCCGGGACTCCCGGGGAAGCGGCGGTGCCGCTCCAGACGGCAGCGTTAAACACGTGTCGGTGAGTCACGGGCTACGGCTACAGGTGGTGAAAACAGACTCGAGAAATGCTTGGCTCCACCTGCCTCGGATGAGAAAACCTGGTTTGCTGGGAGTGTTGGCACCTTTCAGTTGTGACAGACCATCGGCCGCTGGGCTCCCTTCTCCTAACCCCTTGGAAACGCACGTTCTGGGAGCAGGAGATGTTGACGTTTGTCCTCCACCGACGTGCCAGCCCCGGTGAGCTCGGGGGTGTCTGCAGGCACTTTGCCGCTTTGCATCCTCCAGACATCCGAAGTCTCACGGTCAAGGCAGCCGTGCCAAGCATGGCATGGTCTGGTGAAGTCCTGGCCGGTCTCTGGGTGAGCCGATGTGGGCTGGAGCCGGTGTGAGTCGCCGGTGGCGGTGACGGTGTTTCGGGGAGGCGCCGGAGCCGCCCGGAGCGTGGTGTCCCCAGCAGAGGGCACAGCACGGCCGCGGCACCCTTCCTGCCACCATGGGCTCGGGCTCGGGGACCGGCCGGCGGTGCCATGCTCGGCTCGCCGGCGCTTCTTGCTGCTTTTTGGGAGCCTGTGAGCTCCGCGCAGGATGCGGAGCTTTCTCCTGCAGTGCTCCCTCCAGTCCCGGCCATCGCCGCCGCTTGGCACAGCCGGGCAGGTACCGACACGCTCCTGGGTCTTGCTGCAATCCCGCTTCAGACCGGGCTGAGTTTAAGCCCACTTTCCCAGCCTGCTTCCAGAGAGAAAAGTGGGAGAGCTCGGGCACGTCTGTCCCTGAGGCAGAAACTTTTCCATCTCAATTAAAGGAGAAAATCCTTTTCCCGATGTCTGGCATCAGCCCTGGGCTCTGCTCCCCGCTGCCAGGCAGGGAACGGCTTGGGTGGCCAAAAAGGACAGAGGGGCACTCAGACCCGCGGGGCACCCGGCCTGGGTGTCCGATGCCAGCCTGGTGCAGCCCCTCGGTGCAGGGGAGTGGGGCAGGATCAGGCCATCAGCCCCCTCCCGGCTGCTTCTAAGCTGCTTCCTGAAGCTTCTGCGCGGCCCCGGGGTGATCGGACCTGCTGGTGGTGGCACTGCAGTCCCTGTCCCCTCTGCAGGGGCTGATAACCGCAGCGCCGCCCTTTCCTCCCCAGACCATCCACGCTGAGCTCTCCAAGCTGGTGAAGAAGCACGCAGACCAGAAGAACGTGGAGACGGAGATGTACAGGAAGATGCTCGGGAATCCCAGGGCCGCCGGCACCCCGGGGAAGTGCAAAGACAAGCTGCCCTGGGTAAGGGCTGGTGGCGGGTGGCAGAGCGGGTGGGGGTCACCCCTGGGGTGGGGAGCGCTGGGCTGGGCACAGGGGGATGTGTTAGTGTCCCCCCAGGTCCCTGGGGGTCGACGCAGTCCTGCTCCCAGGCCGGGGGGGGATGCTGATGTGACCCACAGGGTGGGCTGTGTCAGGGCAGCGAGCCTGCCGGGAACTGGGGACACGTGCTCCGGCAGCCTTGCCAGGAAAATGCCGATAGCTGCGGCTGTGCTCCTGGCTCTGTCCGACGGGTCCTGGCGATGCCAGCTGGAGGGTCCGGACTTTGCTCCCAGCTGCCGCGCTCGGGAGCCTGCTGGCTGCGCCGGTGGAAAGCGCTGTCAGCTGGGCTGCCGGCAGCACATGCTGTCCCCGCGGACGTGCCGGCCACGCGCTGGGCAGAGCCGACGCAGCACTTGCCTTTTTGGGCTGCGTTATCTCGGATGCGCTTTGGGAGCTCGGTGCTGCCCCGCGGCCCCGTGCCAGCACAGGCAGGGCTGCACGTCCCTGCTGCTGCCGGCGGGGCTCGCGGCACATCCCTGCTGCTGGCAGGGCTCACGGCACACCGCGTGCATCCCGTCACCTCGCCGGTCTCTCCTCCTTAGTCCATCCCCTGGAAGTGGCTCTTCGGCGCAACAGCCATCGCACTCGGCGGCGTGGCCTTGTCTGTGGTCATCGCGGCGAGGAACTAAGGATGGTGGCGGGGCGGCCCTGCGGCACAGGACCTGCACCGGGACGTGCCTCTCTCCTGCCAAGGGGCTTCCCCGGGGCTCTGCTGACCCCTTCCCGCAGACTCGCAGTTGCAGAAACACAGATGCTTTCTCTGCCGGAGGTGCTGGATCCCCCTCCTGATGTCCCCCCGTATTCCTCCCGGCGCAGGCGGGGCGCGGCTGCGGGGACGGAGCCGCAGGCAGAGCAGAGACCCCCGAGCCCCCTCCCAGGCGGCAGGGGCTCAGCCCCCAGCCCTGAGTGGGTCGGGGGGAGCGGGAGCTCCTGCACACCGATACACCGTGGCTGTCCCCAGCCCGGTGAGCCCCAGCGGGCGCCGTGGTCCTGCCGACACGGCGGAACGGGCAGGGGGAGGCACGTGGAAGGAAGCCGTGTGGGTACGAACGGGCACGGTGGTTTCTGCGGCTGGCCCAGCTGCGGGAAGGGAAGCGGTGCAGACGTGCCCAGGGGCATGTGCAGCGAGATTCCCCACGTCCTGGGGGGCTGCCGGCGGCTCAGCCCTCCCACAGGCACCCGCTCCCCTCCTCAGCACTTCCCCAGAGTGTGCAATGTCCAAAGGAAGCCAAAGAAACCCACGGCGGGAGGAATGCGGGAGGGGAGCGCCGGAGACCTCCTCTCCGGGCTGTATCTTGTAGGTCCGAGCTCTCGGGGGTCCCTCTTTGCCCTGCAGCTCTCCCCAGCCCGGGGCCATCCCCAGGGCCTGCTGCTGCCCCGGTCTCAGCTCGGCTCGCGGGGAAGGCGGGGGGGTTGTAGCACCATCCTCCCACCCCAAACCGACTGTGAACTTCCCAAATAAAGGACAATTCCTTCACGCCCGGGCCTCTTCATTGCCAGCAAGGGCTGGGGGCGAGGGGAGGTGTTCCTCTCGGCTGTGTGTGTGTGTGTCCCCTCTTGCCACACGCACGTGGCTGCAGCGGGGGCCGGGAGCGGCTCTTTGATTTGGGGGGCAAGGGGGGAAATTTTACGGAGCCCGCACAGCTCTGGTGCAGCAGCGGCTGGAGGGAGCAACCTCTGCGGCAGGGGATGCTCCACGGCTGGGGTTGTCTTGGCTCTGGAGAGGCCTGGTGAGCAGGGAGCTGCGCCCTGGGGTGCCCCCAGGCCCTGCCGGGGTGGGGGGAGACGTGGGGC